GTTCCAAAGATGCTCAACGTCGCTCCTCATCAGGGAAATACAAATCAAAACCACACTCAGATATCACCTCACGCCAGTCAGAGTGGCCAAAATGAACAAATCAGGAGACTATCGATGCTGGCGAGGATGTGGAGAAACGGGAACCCTCTTGCACTGTTGGTGGGAATGCAAATTGGTGCAGCCGCTCTGGAAAACAGTGTGGAGGTTCCTCAAAAAATTAAAAATAGACCTACCCTATGACCCAGCAATAGCACTGCTAGGAATTTACCCAAGGGATACAGGAGTACTGATGCATAGGGACACGTGGACCCCAATGTTTATAGCAGCACTCTCAACAATAGCCAAAGTATGGAAAGAGCCTAAATGTCCATCAAGCGATGAATGGATAAAGAAATTGTGGTTTATATACACAATGGAGTACTACGTGGCAATGAGAAAGAATGAAATATGGCCCTTTGTAGCAACATGGATGGAACTGGAGAGTGTGATGCTAAGTGACATAAGCCATACAGAGAAAGACAGATACCATATGGTTTCACTCTTATGTGGATCCTGAGAAACTTAACAGAAACCCATGGGGGAGGGGAAGGAAAAAAAAAGAGGTTAGAGTGGGAGAGAGCCAAAGCATAAGAGACTCTTAAAAACTGAGAACAAACTGAGGGTTGATGGGGGGTGGGAGGGAGGGGAGGGTGGGTGATGGGTATTGAGGAGGGCACCTTTTGGGATGAGCACTGGGTGTTGTATGGAAACCAATTTGACAATAAACTTCATATATTGAAAAAAAAAGAGAATATAAGTTCCATAAGGGTAGGGATTCTTGTTGTTTTGTTCTCTTCTGAAGAAGTGGTGCCTAAAAACTGTCTGCCACACAGTAGGTATTCAATGGTTATGTGTGAAATGAATGAATGAATAATTCCTTCTTATAACTTTCATTGTACATATTGTCCACACTATTTGGCACTTAAAACTATATTATGCAAATACTAAACTCTAGTTAATGAAATGCTAAAGTGTTTAGGGGTAAAACATTTGTTGCCTGCAGTTTGTTTCCAAATGCATCAAAATAGTTTGATGGATAGGTAGATGGAGAGACATGTGGCAAAGTAAATACAGCAAAATGTTAATTGTAGAGTCTACGTGGCAGTCTTTCAAATCTTCCAACTTTGTACATGCTTGAAGATTTTTATAATAAAATTCAGAGAAAAAAAATCTAATGCTTTAGAAAGGCCTTCCCTGACAGAAACATTAGTTGCCACCAACTATTCCCTGTCACATCCCTCTATTTTCTTCACAGTATTTATCTCTAGCTGATGTTCTGCTGATTATCCTTTTGCTTTTGTTACCTATTTACCTCCCCCCATAGAATACAGGCTCACTGGAAACCAGAACATCATCTGTCAGGTCCTCTCCTGTTTGCCCATCACCTGCAATACTGTCTAGAACATAACAAGTGTTTAATCACACCTAAGTAAGTAAATTAATGAAGAGATTCCTCATGCCACTGCTTATTATATGACTTACCAGTTTACACACGAATGTCTACTCCTTTCCAGCTTATTAATTCCTTGAAAACGAACTTCTTGTCGTTTTCTTAACGTTTAGCAAAGTGTTAGCTGCAAAATTTTAGCTGCTCAAATTCTCATACTGAAAAATAATCTACTGACGGGTCAGTATTTTAAAATCACATAATAAAGATTTTTTTTTGGCATCCCCAGGTGGGCACAAAGTGAAGGATTTTTATTACTGCATTATTATTTTGTGTCCATGGACACAATATGGAAAGAATTAAACATTTTTGAATAAAAAGGTCATATGAAAAAAGGTATTCTTTCTAGATCACAACATTTTATAAATTAGAAATGGTCTTGGAAATATGTTAATCAAAACCTCTCTTTTAGAGATGAAGAAAATAAGACAGAAAGAGTGACAACTCAAACATTGTACAGCGAAATTAGTGACCTAGAGAAAATCAGAGAATGGGTCTCCTAATTCCCAGTTTCTGCCCTGAGTGGGCAGAGTAGGCTCCTTGGGAATCTGGCACTCTCCATTTAGAGGCTCTCGTTCTTTCTCTAACTGGCTGCTGGCCATAGAAATCACTGTATGTTGACTCAGTATTGACTTTGGAGATTTTGAAGAAGTTTTTGCTAATGTCTTGGCTGGAAGTATGTGTTCTCTATCTCTCTTTCTCTTTTTTTTTTCTTTTTTTACTACTTTGCCATGATCATTTTCAAGAATTGTTTAAAAGTCTATTTTCCCACATTATATCCTCCCAGTCTGCTCCCTCTCACCTCTGTGAACACTGTAGAAAGAAGCCCACATTCCTCTGAAAGGTCTGGTTCAGAGGTGAGGCAAGGCTAGACAGCTTGCATAGGGCACACCACATGATCTGGAGAAGACAGGGGCTCTCCAACCTGTGGTGTGCATTCACCTTTCTCCCCTCTACCATTACAGGTCACTAACTCAAACAACTGTCCTTCAGATAAAAACTGCAAAGGACTCTTAAGAACAGAGTGACGTAAAAAAAAAAAAAAAAAAAAAAAGCTGTTTGGCCAACTGTTTTCTCAGGCACACTTAAGAAAATAATTATGTAAGCTACTTTAAATTCAGGAATGTAGAGTCTTTTTTAGAGCCCGGAGGTTACACAGCTAACCATAGGAAATGACAGGAGGAGAAGAAATGCATGTTTCCCTACAATATTTTCTCTTATAATCAGACTGAAGAGGGGGAAAAGCATACTTTGGGAAGGCCAATCCATGCTTACAAAGCTCTCAACAAACGTTTAAGAACCAACTCCAGCAACATGCCTTAGGAAGGTCGGGGGATGTTAGCCTTGACCATCTTTAAACTTTACCCACGGCTCATCAACCTGTGCCTGCCAAGCCTTGTAACTTGCCAGGCCCCAACTTGCTTTCTTCTTTCAAGACTACATGCCTTTGCATTTATATAGAGCTTAATGTGTTCTAAGCACTATGTGTATGTATGGATATATCCATGTGCACACAGTATTGATATATAGTTCTATAACCAAGCACCATTATATATTTAATATGTAATAAATTATATACTTAATAAATACATAAAATAAGTAACTTTTAATCTATACCTTATGTACTAAACTGTATAAAAGTATAATTAAATAATTATAATAATTAAATACATAATATATAAATATATACAAATAACATATATAAATCTACATAAATCTATAAATCTATAAATATTTATATTTATATATAAATCTATATTAAATATATAATTATATCTAAATATATTTAAAATACATGTATATGTAATATACATTATATATTATACAGCTATATAAATAAAATTAACTCATCTAATCATATGAGATATTATCTCCATTTGATAGATGAGCAAATTGAGGCACAGAAGAGCTACGTGATTTGACCAGGATAAAACAGATAGTAAGGGACAGAGCTGGCATTTAAACACCAAATAGCCTGGCTTCAAATGCCAAGGGATTAAATCACTACGTTCACTGTTCAATCTATTCAAAATCACCTACTAATACGCAGCCATCCCTGGCTTCCTCCCCCAACACAGTCTGTCTTTATTCTGTCTTCCTACCATACTCTGCACATTCCTCATTGATGCTTATCTCACTGGATGGTGGTTTCATTTCATCACGTTCACATCTCCTAAGCCTGCTTCCTATTTCCACCCCTACCTCACCTCCACCCCACAGAAAGACAACTGAGGGAAAGCCTCCTGTGTCTTGTTCTTTCTTATATTCCTCGCACAGAACACAGTGGCTGGTACACAGGACACTTCCATAAGCATTTGCAAGAGGGATGAACGAAATAACTTCAAAAAGTCAACAGAACTGTGGGCTGTGTATCTCTTGGCACTGGATTAAGACATACAGAAGACATGCTTCCATAAGCAGCTCAAGGAGTCGGCAGAGAGTGCGTGACTAGAGTGTCCTCAGGCACCTGGGCTGCTCTGATTGCATGAACTGGTCAGGTGGCCCTTTGGGCTTGAGCTGGTTTCTAAATCCATATACCCGCATTCAATAAGTATACCCTATGTATTAACTCTGTAATTAGACATGCATAACTAGTATTCCTGACCTATAGGATTTTAGTGTATGGGGAAAGGGAGGGAGGTGAGCAACTGAATGATTTAAATGATTCAGTCCCAATGAATACCACAGATAATTATCTTAGGAGTTCAGAGAAGGAGGAAGTCACTTGGGATAGCAATGGTTAGGGAGGTGAGACCTAAGGAATAGGCAGGTTTGAGTGAAGACAGCAATTTGAAGTCATTCCAAGAATGAGCAAAAACAGAGCCTCTCCCAATAAGAAGTTAATACATTAACCAGTCTCTGCATACTTGTCCACCAGTTGTTTACATTTCTCACTGTAAACTATTAAATTAGTTTCTTATAAAATTCAAAATCCAATGTTTGCTCTGTAGTAATAATTTTTCTAAGGCTTTAGTGTTCCTAAATTATTGAAATTTCAGAAATGCAGCAAGCCTAGCATTATAAAGAGAATAAAAACCCCAAGACTATTCCTGTTGACCTTTCATTGCTTCAGCCCTAATTGTTTGAGGATTATTTGAGACAGATGCTCCACAGAGGCTTAATTTATTACTAAGCATGTAATTTTGGAACAGTTTGGACGTCCCAATAGTTTTCTGAGTTCACTCCCTCATTCTCTCTTCTCTGCTATTCCTTTCAGATTTCATATCTTCCTTCATCTTCCCAGAAGTTTTGTTAGACCTGCCAGTGGGATCCAAAGTCATTGGCTCACTGAGAGCAACAACAGAGATTAATGTCTTAATAGTATTTACTGTGATACCTCAACCAAAGTCTATAAATATCAAAACAATAAAAAGATTAGGATAAGAAGTAGAAGGGAAAACAAAATTTTCCTCTTTAAAACACAAACATTCAAACAAACAAAGAAATAAAATTCCAGAATAAAGAGATTTTTATCTGACATAGGGTTGAAAAATAATCCTGTTGTGTTGCTTACTTGGTTGAAAATAAAAGGAACTTCTTTCTTCTCTCCCACTCTGATAGAGGATATGGGGAATGTTGCTGTTCCTAGAGTTTCATCCATGACATAATTGGCATCCATTAATGTGACCTGTAGACATTAAAAGGTAAAGCACAAGAACACAATTTCTCTTGGATCTTTGGAAATTATATCTAAAATCTCCACCACAATCAATAAATGAAAGTCTTCAAATGATCTTTAATAATCATTTGAGGTCCTCAACATTCAGCTTTGTTATAATACTTTGTCTTTTCTTTCAGACACATTTGCTACTAAAATAATAATTTTTTTTTCATTTTCCTGATTGACATCTTCATTATCATGTTTTCAAAAATGGGACTTTATCCCCTCTCAGGGGAAATGCTATTCTGGAGTATGAGAAATAAATTATGTAGAAAACCCATGCAACCATTTTGGAAATGATCTATTTTAACTTCATTGAAAGTTAATGATTTTAAGTTAGAAGCCTTAAGTTACCTTAAAGTCACAATCAATTGACAATAGGATTATTCTGTTATACTTGGACCTTTCTCTTTATAACACAAAACGTTTTCTCCAAAGCACTCAAGGAGGATAAACGATTCTTCCCAGCCCTACCTAACTCTTGTGTTTTCCACTGGACCTTCCCATCACCCGGGTGGGGGGGGGGGTGGTGTCACATCACCTGGGGGGCACCATCTGGAGCTTAGTATGCCATGCTGCACAGCTGGACTCCAACTACACCCAACTGAAGAGAAGGGACAAAGCTCAGGCACCAACTTCAACATGAATTATGACCATTGAACAGTCCACAAATGATTCACTGACCTCCAAAACATTTTCCTGATTAGGATCCAAAATAAATTCAAAGGTCTCATTCCACACTGGGTTTATGTCATTATTGAAGTGTCTTGTTCTCTTCCTGCTGTCAGGGGTTGAGGAGATGAAAAGTTCCACATAGGGATCTGGGGTATCAACTATAGACAGCAAACACAAGGGAGAAGGATACAAAGATGTGATTCATAATTCCTAATTTGTTTTTACTGTATGCTCTGTCAGATTATTTTTAATGAATCTGCCATCACATATTCAAAATGTCTGAGACAAGATACTACATAACAGAAGAACATCTCAGGTTATATACTTCTTACACATTATGTCCCTGCCCTTCACAACAGTCCTGTGGGAAGGAATCGCTTATTAGGTGCTTTACTCAGAATTCTTCTGTCCACTTTAGGACATGTTCAGTCAACATGTCAGTCCAACTGCTAAATGATGAGAGCAATCTCACCCAGCTAACTGCAATATAACCGTCACCCCAGGACTCTGATGGTGACAAGGTCATGGGTTTAGGATCATAGTCTACAACAGAAAAAAATTATCCTAATTACTTTCTTTGCCAAACAATGACAGTCAGTGTGAGATAAATATTGTAGTTATAGGGTTGCCTTGTATAGCTGTACAGGCTGCACACTGAACAGCACCTATATTAGTAATCCATGTATGTTTCTGTATTTATTATAGCAGTACTCAATCAGATGGAAGTGGGTGTCTCAAGGAAGTGACAGCTTTTTCTTTTTTTTTTTTTTAACTTTTTAAAATGTTTATTCATGTTTGAGAGACAGAGCACAGGCAGGGGAGGAACAGTGAAAGAGGGAGACACAGAATCTGAAACAGGCTTCAGGCTCTCTCAGCACAGAGCCCAACATGGGGCTCGAACTCACAAACCATGAGATCATGACCTGAGCCGAAGTCAGACGCTTACTTAACCAACTGAGCCACCCAGGTGCCCCAGGAAGTGACAGCTTTTTCTACTGTACATAAAGACTTGCTTGAGTCAGGGCATGATGTGGGTACCATTTTAAATAGAAAGAAACAAAGGTACTATTTAAATTTCTTCCCACTATATATACACTTAACAACAAGGCAACTGACTAAGCCGTGGAAACATTGATCACTCCCTCCTTAGTGGTTCCACTGAATCCTTCACCGTCTTACAGCATTGCACACACTACATTTCATGGATGTAATTACACATTTATCTTTTCCTACAAGACTGTCAACAGCTTGAGGGCAGCCATCAAGTCTGACTCAACTTTATCTCTTTAGAACTTGACAACCATCACAATATTCATAGGTCTCCTAACTTAAGGACTTGACTTTTCTCTTTAACACATCCTTTCCCAAGTGGCCATTGTAATTCATAACCACAAAAACCAACAGTTGAGTAATGCCTGCTAGGATCTCCGTTAAGCACTGTACACACATAAGTCTCATTCAAATCTCCCAACAGTACTACAAGGTAAGTGCTCTGTTGAGACAACAGGAACTGAGGGATGTTAAGCAATCTGTCTACTATCATCCAGCTGGTAAGTCTCAGGGGAAGTTCTGACTGCAACAATCATTCATTTAATGACATCATGCTCCTAAGTTCTAAAGATGATATCATAAGGTAGGCATTGCTATAGAAAGTAGAGTCATGGAAAAGAAGAGGGAAGGAGAAAGAAAGGGAGGGAGGGAGGAAGAAAGTGGCACAGATGTCCACATAAAAAGATATAAAAATTGAGAACAAAGGAAAAGCAAAAATAATAGTTCTCAAATGATTGCTTTTCAAAGAAATTAAAAAAAAAAAACCTTTGTCTTTCAACAGTAGTTATGGCCATCAAACAATTTAATCAGTGCCCTTCACTTAATTTTTAAACGCTGTTCATAGTTCTATGTGGTGATCACATTTTTAAAAGCCTTTTTATGGTAAAGAGGAAAGATTTGTGAATGAGGTACAAGCATTTGGAATTGTCTTTTATTTAATTTTCCCATTTGGACCTTATGCATTGATAGTTAAGGGCAGCTGAGTCTCAAAAGTAAGAGTGTAATATAAATGCCTAGGGTTCTACTGGGCATCTGACTGGCTCAGTTGGTTAAGCGTCTAACTTCAGCTCAAGTCATGATCTCACAGTTCATGAGCCCCACATCGGGCTCTGTGGTGAGAGAATGGAGCCTGCTTCAGATTCTTTGTCTTCTTCTCTCTCTCTCTCTGCCCCTCCCCCACTTGCAGTCTCTCAACCAAAATTAGATAAACATTAAAAAAAGAAAAACCTGCAGACCCCTGACCCTCATTTCCTAAGACCTATGATCAGCAGAGAACTTAGAAATGTGCAGTTTTAAAAGTTTAGTTATTTTTGAGAGAGAGAGAGAGAGAGAGAGAGAGAGAGAGAGAGAGAGCACGCTCACACACATGAGTGGGGGAGGAGCAGAGAGAGAGGAGACAGAGAATCACAATCAGGCTCCATGCTGACAGAGCAGAGCCCAATGTGGTGCTCAAACTCACAAACCGTGAGATCATGACCTCAGCTGAAATCAAGAGTCGGATGCTTAACCAACTGAGCCACCCAGATGCCCCAGGAATCTGCATTTTAAAATAAATATTCTAGCTGATACTGATGTAGGTCATCTTCTGTTCACACTTTCGATACCCTGTTTTAGAGAAAAGGGAAATAGGTAGTTATTGGAATTTTATTTATTATTTATTTTTATGGAGGTATAATTGGCATATAATATTGCATAAGTGTAAGGCAGACAAAGTGTTGGTTTGATACATTTACATATTGCAGTTTCTAACCCAGTGCTTGTATCTCTCAACCAGACCATGGAAGACAAACTAGAAAACAAAAGTACTGAGCAGGAGGGAAGCCAAGGGGAAACGGGCCAAAGCAGAGGCAGGCAGGCTACAAGGTGACTCTTCCCACCTCCTCAACCAGGAGATGTTGCTTTTCCTTAACCATGTTCTTGCCACAGCACCAGCTCTCAAGATGGCAAATCAGAAACAAAACTACAGGTTAGAATAGCAGGTGGTGGAAGGCCATAAAGAAAAATATCTTCCCTCTTTTGAGAAGTCAACACGTGATTTAAAGGAGACAATTCAACTGGTCCTTCACCTTAAATGTGCAAAAATGGAGCCCCTTCATTAGCCCATAGGGCAGGTTCTTTCTCATGGGGCTGATGCTCTTTTCTGTTTTCCCCAAACACTAGAACACACAAAACCAGGCAAAAATCAATCTAGAAAACAAAAAGTGTCCGGGAAGAGGAGGCATGCAAATGGTAAACATCACTCATTCGCTCAACAAATATTTGAGTGCCTACTCTACGCCAGCAACTACCTGTCAAGAAGCAGTTTGGCTTTACCAGGCCACCGAGCATGAAACTGAAGATCTGGACTGTGGAAGTGACTCAAATGCTAAGAGCCTAATTTGAGAGGCAAAGGTAAACGGGAGACAAGCAGATACACTACGCCCATGACTAGTAACTCAGTCACTCGGATTATTACACACAAATAAAGTCAAATCATAGGTGGAGAAATTGCCTTTGAGGCTTGGTCTTCCTCTGAATCTGAGGAAAGGAGGGAGAGGTTTTCTTGGGCCAAATGAGGAAGAGAAAGCAGAAAGTTAAGTTCCTTGGGAGAAACCCAAGAATAAGAAAAGAATGCAGCAAACTGAAATAGCCTAAATCAGTCAGGGATATAACCATCTTCCAAGCCATCCTGGACGCTCAGTTCAGGTCATACACCCTGGCAAATTCTAACTCTGAAAAAATGATAAAGAAAATACCGTGCGACAGGATGCCGATGCTACATTTATACGTCAAAACAGGGACAGACCTCCTTTAAGAAAACCAGAACCCAGTTTAAAGCTGTCACTTTGGATTCTTCTTTTCACTTTTCCCCAGCATCAATAGTCTACAACCTCTGTCAAGAGTGGTAGTTGTTTTAGTTTCTCCTCTCGCTTCATTAGCGAGAGACCTCAGTTAAGATGTCAAAGGGTGCTGGACAGTGGAAAACCACCGACAGCTGCAAACTTTGATAGTGCAGTCGGCATCACTGCTAATCTTTGCAAGCTGAGAAACATCTGGCAGTGGCAGGCACTGCAAGATGAAAAAGAATTTTAGGATGCTAGTTTCAAATTGGATTATGCTAATCACACAGCTCATGCCCTTTATATAATCTATAATCTTCATTAGCACCATAGTGCATAGAAGCTTTTTTTTTTTTTAATGTTTATTTATTTTGGGGGGAGAGAGAGAGAGCGAGCACTAGCGGAGGAGGGATCGAGAGAGAGAGGGAGACAGAGAATTCGAAGCAGGCTCCAGGGTCTGACCTGTCAGGACAGAACCCGGCACAGGGCTCGAACTCACGAATCACAAGATCGTGACCTGAGCCAGAGTCAGACGCTAAACCGACTGAGCCATCCAGGCGTCCCACACACGGAAGCTTTGAAAAGGGAAAGCAGTCCAGTTCGACAGCACAACTTAGCCAGGTGCTTGAGAGAAGTTCCTAGATATGCATTCAGGGGAGAAAGAAGTCAAATGTAGGAAAAGAAATGTTTGGGTTTCTTTCTCCTGTATACTTAGTTCATGGTTTTGTGAATTGATGCCTGTAGGGTAACTGGATGCTGAGTCAATGATTCAGCTTCGCCTTGATTGGTTCCAGCAAAACAGGTGGTAAAGCAAAGATGCAATGTGTGGGCAAAGACTTCCTCTCATTGCATCCTTTTATCTAAATTCTGACAAACAAAAATGCAAGGGGTGTGGGATACAGATCTTTTTCTGCTCCCATAAAGATGACATGAAACTACATGCACCTGAAATAGCTTCAGAATTCCAGGGTTGTAAAACTTCTCATAAACTTTAGTAGTTTAAGGAGTGCCTACCTAAATTAATAACAGGCCCATCTGCCACTTCAGCTTTGTCTGAACAAAATATTATATGATTCATGACAGGGGCTGATGGCAGCTTCTGTACTCTGTAAGTTCTATTTTAAATATTCTCCGTTTGCTTTCTCATATCCACTTTGCTCAGCAACTTAAACCCTTTGCTCTAAATGAAGGTGACTCATAACCTGATACAAAACAGCCAAAAAATCCCCAAAAGAATAATCCCCCCAAATTCCCAGCCAAAATATCATTTTCCAAATAGCTATTACTATTGATGGTGAACTTAAGGTAGTGTTTCTCAAAATTTAGTCCCCTAAAATATCTTCACAGCATCGTCTGGAGTGTTAAAAATGCACATACTTTGCGTCTTCAGTCAGAGCTCAGGCTTGGAAATCTGCATTTTTAACAACTTGACCAGGCGGTTCTTAGGTACACAATTTAGAAAAATGTGGTTTAAGGTATATGATTAGAATCAACTACAGAACAATAATATAAAGAACACAGACAGAAAAGTAGAAATATTTTGGCATTGAGACGTCAACAGGCTTACTGGCCGTCTGTCATGGAGTCATGCTGCCCATAGACTATATTAAGCACAATCCAGTAATTCACTTCCGTTTCTTTCCAGCCATTAAAGACCTTTTCAAGTAGCCACATGAAAACAAATCCAAGAATAAAGTATGCGGGGTGTGTTAGCAGGCAACGTATATAAGGTGATAGACTGAATATTCAAGCATTCTGCTTCAGTTACCACCAAAATAGGAGTACCATAAGACCAAAAATTAAATAGTAATTTGTTGAAATAAATGCTTCTGCATATCGCTTTCAGCTGTCATCACTCTTTGAAATATGTGTGATTTCATGATAAAGGTAATTATATGGAGCACTTAAAGCTTTTCAACTTAAAGGTTTAAAAACTTAAAGGTTTTATGATTACCAAACTTTCACTCCCCAGGTTCTATGCTGGCTGAGCCAGGAAAGTGATTGTTAGCCTCACCGTAAATGTACAAATTGCAAGGGCCATTTGGTTCTTTTTTACCATAAAGTTTTTGTTGAAGGATAAGATATAGGCAGAAGAGTTAGAAGATCATTGCTACAGTCTGTTGAGTTTTCATAAACTGAACTCACTCACAATATCACCACCCAGATCAAGATACAGAACGTTACCAGCACTCCGGAAGCCTCCCTCAAGTCCCTCCAGCAGGGTGACCAGTGCCCTGCCTTCTATCGGCATAGAATATTTTTACCTGCTTTTTATCAATAGAATCAATAGCACAATATGTACAACTGGGCCACCATTAAGTATGTGAGATTCATCCACAGTAACGTGTAAAATATGTTCGTTATTATTGATGGAAACTATTCCACTGTATTCCATAAAATGTTTATCCATTTCACCGTTAATGGACATTTGGATTATTTCTAATTTGGGATATTACCAGTGGTGCTGCCATGAACATTCTGGATGTGGCTTTTGTTGTGTACATATGTATGTTTCTGTTGTAAAATTCCCAAGAATGGAATTCCTTAGGTATGAAATTATTGCACTGTTGTACACGCTGATGTTAATAGTCATACAGCAGCACATCCTTCCAATACTTAATATTGTCAGTCTTTTAATTTTAAACATCTGGTGGATGTATGATGGTATCTCAGTGTGGATTTATTTCACACATCTTGGATGATGATGAGGTTGAATACCTCTTCTTTTTATTAGTCAATTGGTGATTCTCTGGAATGAAGAGCATACTCAAATCCTTTGTCCATTTCTTTCCATTGGGTTGCTTGTTTTTTAGATTAATTTATGAGTACTTTACATATTCTGGATGAGTCCTTTGACAGACATACATAGGTTGCAAATGTATTTTCTCAATTTAGGGTTTCCATCTTTTCACTATTTTAAATGATGTCTTTTGATCAAAATAAATGCCGAACTTTAATATAGTTCAGTGTGTCCAACTGTTTTCTTATAATTCAGGTTTTTTGTCTTTTTTTTTTTTTTTTTTTTTTAGAGAGAGAGTGAGAGACGGTGTGCGTGTGTGTGTGTGTGTGTGTGTGTGTGTGTGTGTGAGTGGGGAGGGGAGTGGGGATGGAGGTGCAGAGTGGGGCAGAGAGAGAGAGAATCTTAAGCAGGGCTCAGTCTCACGACCCTGGGATCATGACCTGAGCCAACATCAAGAGTTAGGTGCTTAACTGACTGAGCCACCCAGGCTCCCCTGCTTTTTGTCTTTTAAGAAAACCTTAGCTATTCCAGGGTCATAAAACAGTTTGCATTGATGTCTTCAAAAATCTTACTGGTTTTACTTTTTCTTTTTAGATCTAAATTGGAATCAATTCCTGCGTATGGTGTGAGGGGAGTGTTAGGATTTTTTTCATAGGGACTCGGGATCATTTACTGGAAACACTGCCTTTAATCCTAGCATGGCAGTGTAGCTTTTGCATTAATCAAGAGGTCACATAAATGCAAGTCTGTTTCCGGATTTTTATTGGTTTATTCGCCCATTAGTCTATTCATTTACTCTTGCACTAATGCCACTCTGTCTTAATTATCCTAGTTTTATAATAAATTGATGTCAGGTAGTATATGTTGTCTTTCTTTAATTTCTTCGCTTACTCTGGCAGATATTTTATTTCAACACTTCATAGATGTCATTCTGTTATCTTGTGGTTGTTTTTTTAAATGTCTTTTTTCCTCTGGATACCTTTAGAACATTTTTTTTTTCTTTCTCTTTAGTTCCCAGCAACTTTACTGCAATATGCGTAGGGTTGGTATTCTTTGTACTTACCCTTGAGTTCATAACCTACACACACACACACACACACACACACACACACACACACACACACCCTTTCTCCTTCCCAGTGCTTTCTATCATGCCCTAGATATTCCTTATGTTTTCCTCTATAGTTTATTTCCCTTTTTGTTCTCTGCGTTTCAGTCTGGATATTTCCTACTAACCTATTCTGTTAATTAATTGCCTCTTCAGATGTGTCCAAATGACATCAAACCTATCTATGGAGTTTTTAATTTCACTTCTTGTTTTTAGTTGTAATTCTTCCATTTTATTCTTTCCTATGTATCTGGATCCCTGGTAAAATTCTCCATTTGTCATCTGTTTTCTCAAACATATTAACCATAATTATTTTATATAATCTGTGCAGATCTATTTATTTTTCTT